TATTTTATATACCATATATTGTATGTATTATGCTCTCCTAATATTTTCTCAGCAATGGAAAGATCTAGTTAAAAGACCACAAATGATAAAGCTTTCTCATACTTACTGACAAATTTTAAATATTTAGTAAATTGCATACTAGAGAGGAAAACTTCATTTCCCATCAATTTAGAATACTTAAAGAAATTGAAATGCTTCAAGAATCTCCTGGAAACAAGTTGATTCCCTGACAATAACTATTACTTTACATGTTTCTTGACTGAAAGGTGAATTTTATCTAGGCAAAATAATGCAGAGGGAAGCTGGAAATAAAATGACAAGAAAGTTAAGATATTAAATCTCCAAAGACCAACATCATGACAGCTATTTCCAGGCCCTCTTATCCCTCTAAGATATGGCCAAAAATACCACTTGGAATTCTGTCAGGAATTCTCTGATAGTGTGGCCTTTTGCAATAACAAGCCAAATGTTTTGTTGATTTACAACTAAGTTCCATCAGCACTGACAACCTCTGAGATAAGAAAGCAAATGAATGAAAGCACCCTGAGGAGGAAAATGCATATTTTCACTGTCTTATGCATATGCAATTACTTTGTTATTAAGAAAGCAAGAGCTCACTAAAATTGGACAGAGACAAAATGTTTGCCTTTCCAAGAATAGGAAGAGCAAACTTTGGAGGAAGAACTAAAAGTCCAAAATGTAACAAGAAAATTAATCCAGAAAGTATTCAGCAAGATTAATAACCACTGGGTTTTTATAACAACCAAAGGGCTGGCTTTTGTAAATTTTGTTGAAAGACAGTATCATTGATGAGAGAGAAAGGAGAGAGGGGGAGAGAGAGAATGAATTTCTCTAGAGTGCCAAGTTCTCAATTTTCAACAACTACAGAGGGGTTAATTATGCTTATGACTGGCCTTTAAGCCAAACCATTTGATTGGCTTATTTACATATAAAACTGTTTAAGAAAAAATATTTTTTCTGAGTATAGATTTTGCATTGCAGTTTGCTAAGTTGGTGATTGGTTGCTTTTTCACCCAGTTTTCTCCATAGGGGTGTTGATTTAATGAGTTTAAAGACAGAGATTACACATTTCCTTTGAAAAATCTAATACATGTCATATTCATACAATGACACTCTAAATTGATTTCTAAGGCCAACCTATATAATTTTCAAATATGTGACTAGAGCTCAAAAAATGAGATTGCTTTTGCCCTATGTGCATGATTGCAGATGGGGTCTCCATTAAGATCATTTTTCAGCCTTTAGAAAATGTTAAATGACACCCTAATAATAGATAACTTCCAAACATGAAACATTAGCACCAACCTTAGCCAAAGAAAATGTATATTTAACATATCTCAGGAAATGCTAACATTCTGTTCTTCCACTCCCTCTTCACCCAAACAATAAGCAAAAATATTACAAAAGTAGGCAATCTTTATCTCGCAGATGCAATATTATTGCGACAACAGTCAATGTGACAAAATGCTTCAGAACCAAAACGCTAAGCTTGACCTACGTGGCCTGCAATTCTGCTAAGTCTTCTAGGAAATATCTGTCATACCAGCGTGCATGGCCAATATGATAAAGAAGAGGGTGAAATTCCAGGGATGCCAGAATGACCATCTACCATGTCCACCCAGTAACAGCTTGTAATACCAGATCCCTAACCACAGTGGCCCTTTGCAAAAGTAAAATATGAAAATGACAAGGGTGAATCCATGGGTTATTAGCACTAGCTAGTATGTGACTAGATACTGGTCACTGTCTCTCTGGAAACAGAAGAATATATACAACCCAACAGGTTATGTGAGGGCACAAATAATACCTGGAAAGAGTGGCTGCAGAGTCTGTGTATCTCATACGTGTACATACATGCACATACAGTTAGCCTATATATTTTATAAAGAATAGTTACAATCTCAGTAGGAGTTGTAAGTGTAGAACAGTGCTCTTGGCACTTAACCCAAAGCACTATGAAGTCTCCTCTTCTGTCCAGTGATATTAAAAGAAAGGTTTAAATGTGCAATAAGTTGCAGAGAGCTTATATAAGAATAAATTATATCTTTATATTCTACGGTGGTACCCATGATCGCCATTGTACTGATTTTAGTATAAATGCCCCCTCTAGAAAGTCTCAAATCTATCAGAATAACACTTCTTTACATTACCATGGAGAGGCACCTTGAGTGGCACCCCCAGATACCCATGATACTCACAGATTCCTGCTCTCAGTGGCTACTGGCCCAGCATCATGTGGACAAAGGCCCCGTCACACAGACCCAAGGTGGATGTAGAAAAGCAAAGCATCCAACTCTCTCCCAGGTTAAAATGAAACAGACCAGCATCTGGGTTTTTTTTAGAAAAGGAATTTCAACTCTCTTCATTGTGCAATAATTAAAATATTTTTAATGCATAAGTGTATGGAATATTTTATCTATTGAGACAGAGCTAAATCTTCTGGATGAACATGAAAAACAGGCAAAAAATAAAGTTCTTCAATTAATAATTAGTTCCAGACAGAACATTGTAAATTCAAGTCACAAAGCAAAATGTTCAACATTATCTCCCATCAGAAAACCCTTTCGGTTGGCTGCTTCTAGGGAGGTTTTGTCCTCTAACATGAATGTGCTTGAGACAAGGAAAGAGCAGTACATGGAAGACCTCGTGACTTCATTTGTCACAGATGTTACTTCAGTGTGGATCTTTTCCTGGATATGAGCTGAACGGGACACGTTGCTGCTTTGGTGGAATAGACAGCAAGGACTCAGCAAAGTTGTTCCCCATCTTGAATGCCGCATGCCACACTGCCACACTGCAGATCCAAGAAAGGTCCAGTACATGACAGCCTTGAGAATAATACCTCTGCTCATGATCCCTGTAAGAATGGATGGCACTGCACCTCTCAGTCTAGGGCACCACACCCCACCTCGATGTGTCTACCTCCTTTTTCATCTACTCATATAGTCTCTTGCAGTAAAAGAACTTCTTTCTTAATACAGTTGATTTTTTTTTAATAAAGGAAGGATTGAGACAAGCATCCTTAAAGGCATAAATAATAAAACATTATTTTGAAAGGCTTGAGAAAGCTGTCCATTTCGATATAACCATAATGATATTTCTCATAAATATGGCTCTGAGGAAGAAGTCAGTAGAGACCTCCAGCCCTGTGGCCCCAAAACTGAGATTTCAGAGACCAATAAGAAAATACTTGAGGTGATAGATATGCTAATGATCCTGACTTTATCATTGCACATTAATACCTGTGGTTGATATATCTATTGCACATATATTCATGAACAGTGTGGTTATTATGAGCCTGTGAAAATTAAAATAAATATATAAATTGAAGCCTTCCTTCTCTGTACATACTTAGGGTTTTGGCTCGACTTGGTCCAAGAGCCAGTTTGGTCTAGTGGCTGTGGTGAATCACCCACTTATTGTGAGGTTCACTGACCTCTCCAAGGAGAGAAGGAAGGAACCAGTGTGTGTTTAATTTCCCTTAGGACAGGAACGTTCTCCTGGCAATCCAGTGGGCTTGGTTGTTTCTGAGTCTGTGTCCTCAATACAGCAGGACAAAGACAGACCAAGGGGGAGGCTAAGACCACCGACCATAACAGGTTCTGAACGCTGTCCATAGACTTACCCTGTATTACTGATTCGATGACAAAGTTTTATTCATGTTTTAATATGTCTGAAATCAGCTTGGATCTTACAACCAATAATTCCACTTAACTGAAATGGCAGGAGTCTTCTTCTTTCCTAGTGCGAGTAAAACAATGGGGAAAGATCTAAATTTCTAAGAAAATGGTAATATTTCTCATTCAAGGCTGAAATTATTTTCCCCTAGAGTCTCCTTAGCCCTGCCTGAGTGACTACTTTTCTTGGTGGAGCCTATTCTCTGCTTCCTTCCCCTTTGCCACAGAAAAGGGCCCTTCCGGAAGTGCCTTTCCCGGAAAACAGCAGGCTCGGACATCAAGCTCTCAATTTTGAATTACTTGGTAGCTGGATGTGATAAGACTTGGTTTAGGGATGGACTTTCCTGTCAAATTGGAAATTAATCTTTAAAAAAAAAATAATTAAAATTCCTTTCCAAATGACAAGAGGGAGAGAATTCTTGAAGGTTAGTGCGTCCAGCATACAACCTCTCCCTTCTGGATTAGCATCCCGGCAGGAGGACCGTCAGCCTGTCGCCCGAGCTGGCAGGGAGCCCGGTTCCCTTGACAACTGACTCTCCAAATCTGACGCCAGGCGCCACCTGGTGTCCACTTCAGGAAGGTACAACAAAGAGGCACCCTGTTGAAGAAAAGCTGTTAGGGTAAAAAGATACTTATGGAGCAAAGAGGAAGACTGAAGAAGATGCAAGGTTGGGATGTAACAAATAGAACCAGGAAGATCGGCTCCAGCCGATATTGCTGTTACAATGCATGTGTCTGTTTAACCATATGGGATTAAGGGCAGTATATGAGTGATCACAGTGTAACATAACTAATGTTTTTAAACAAAAAGTTACTGTATAAAGGGCGTCAGAATAGAAGCCAGATGTTCTCGGTATTATTTCTGGCTTTGCCATTAATCAGCTGATTGCTAGTGGTAGACACATTAGTGGGCACCTGAGCCTGCTTAAGCTTGGAATTATGCTTTGATGCTCTGGGTAGATTATTTTGTTCAAACCTCATGGGGGACACATTAAACCTAGGAGGTTCAACTTGTGAGAATGATATTACAATTCCATTAGGAAACAAAGTTCAAGGATGACAGATTATTTCCCAAGGTCACACAGCTGATAAATGTCAGGGCTTAAAGTAGACATTTTTCAGTGGACATCTGTGTTAATTGGCAAGCTGTGACAAAATACCTAACATTAAAAAAAAATGTAAAAACTTAAAGGAGAAAAGTTTATTTTGTAAATATGGAACTCACAGATCCATGGATTTCAGTCCATGCTCAGCTAGCTCTGTTGCCTTTAGGCCTGTAGTAAGGCAGAAACATGGCTTAGGGCGCTGGGGAAGGAAGCTGCTCACTTCAAGGCAGCCAGGAAGCAGAGAAAGAATGGAAGAGGCAGAGAGGAAGGTGCCAGGGTGCAGAGATGGTCCTCGAGGCCACAGCCCTATGACCTGCTCCACTCAACTAGGTCATCACCTGTTTCCTTCTCCTCTCGATAATGCCATCAAAGAACCATCTCAGCAGGGAATCAACTTCCTTCAAGTTACCGCCCTCGTGATCCAATCACTCCCTGACACACTACAGAACAGGGACTCAGTCAGTGCCTGCTTGTGGAAGAGAACTCACATCTGTCTGACTCCAGGCACCACGCATGGCCCCTGCACAGGGCACTGTTGTTCCCACATCCTGCAGCAACGGGCCCTGGCTTGGGGTGCCTGCTCTCCTTTCTATTACCCGTGCAATGTTCTGGAAGTGGCACTTAGGGCAGGATTCAAGAGATTTCACACCGTTAAGGGGCATGAGTGCAGCAAGCACCAGAAAGCCTTGCTCTGGGGAGTAAAGGTGTTTATGCATCACCATGGCTATTCTGAATTGTTAAGAAAAGTTCGCTCCCAATCTTCTTTTTTGTGATCTCTTGGCCTCATCTAAAATCAAGTGATTCCCCAGTAAAAGTCAGGGCTCTGGAGCTATTTCCGCCACCGTGGCTGTCTGCACTCTCCATCTCTGTGCAAATGCCAAGAATTGCATCCCATCACAAGCTTCAGCACCAGTCCACACTGCCCCCAGGCCTCTCAGCCATCAATCCCTCAGCACCACACATCTCCCGAGCCAGAGATGAATCACAAACATAAGAAAAGAAAATGCACAAACATATGGAGGAAATGAAAGTCTCGGAAAGTGACAGAATTTATTTTCACTCTCCAGGAGCTGTCCTCCAGACGTGCAAACCTCCACCTTCTTGATAAAGCATCTGGAAGTTCAGAATTAATTTCACCTGGCAAATGCATGAGCTGTGACTCTGATATTTTGTATCTATTTTCTCACTTAAGACTTTTGAGAGCACTACAGGAAGAGCATTTCTCTTTTGCCATCTGCACTCTTAGAGGCTTTGGTTTTGTTTGGGGCAACTCATAAATAATAATAATAACAATAATAACTAATAATAACTTGAATCTCAGGGAAGTCTTGGAGTAAACAAGATCATGTCTATCAAAGTTATATAAAAGCTGGAAAGAACTGTGAGAGTGTAAATCTGGGTACAATTACTGCAGTATGGGAATAAAAGATTTAGTACAGGAATTAGATTTTACAGTAAATGTGGGAGAACCCTGGGAAGTGCAGTTCTATATGGGAGAGCAGAGAATCAGTCATTAACCAATCCACTCAAAGCCCGGGACAGAAGGGCATGTTGCTCCACCTGTCTAAATCTCGACCTGGAGCTGTTGGAATGTTCATGGAAACATGGGAATCTGGCTCTGCCCCTACCAACTGTCTAGCTCTGAAGAAGATACTTCAGCTCTCTATATCTTATTATAAAATATGAGTGATAATAATAGCAGCTACCTTGTAGAGCTGCTGTGAGAATTTAATAAGGTGATACTTAAGACAGTTCTTGGAACACGGAAGTACTAAGTTATTGTAGCATTTTTACCACCACAGAAGCACGGTGATAATGAAATGAGATGGGCATAGAGTATTTGGATCATTGCCTGGAATATATTAAATACTCAGTAAATATGAGCAGTGAGCTATGGACTTAAGGTTTTGAGCCAGAGACATTTTAAACTCCATGGGGGAAGTTTGTGGTTGGACAAGCTAGGACATGTTGAGGAACAGCAAGCCACATGACTGATGGGTAGGTTCTGAGGGCAATCTTGGGAGCTCTGACTGCAGAGAGGGTCAAGTCTGAAGCAGAAAGCATGTGCCTATCACAGAAACAAGGACAAGCCATGGCATTTCCCGATCTAATGACATGTGATTTTTTTTTTTAAACTGGGCACAGTTTGTAGATCAGAATGTGGGAATCAAATCTACATAGAGAAAGACTGGTTACATAGTCCTTACAATAGTGTAGAGAAGCAGAAATGAAGATCTGGATTTGATAGTCAGGAGGGAGACAAGGAGACAGAGTACAGCTATGTCACATGGCAGAACTAATAGACCAAAGAAGTTAGCTGGATATGGGACTCGAAGAAGAAGAAGGATCAAAGGTGATTTTTCCATGAAGGAAGTCAGAGGAAAAGGACGCCGTTGGAGGGAGGTGGTTTTCTGAGCCTGTGATGTGTTCAGGTGAAAGTGGGTGTTCTGGAGCCCAGGAGTAATGACAGGACTGGAGACAATGATGTGAAGTTCTTCTGGGAGATGAATGAAGATAGACAACAAAATGGCCTCCTCATCATTTTCACTTTGGGAAAAGAAAAATCAGTATACTAAATACTATTAGCAAATCTTATTTAACAATGTATGTATGTATATAAAAGTAAATAGATATAGATAAAATGTCATGATTAATTAAGATTTATTCCATGAGTTCTAGGGTGGGTTAACAATAGAAAGTCTACTAGTATAATTTACCCTATTATCAATTAAAGTGACCAGAACAATAAATGCAAAAGAAACATTTGATGGTTTCAACAGTCATTCACTATATATTTTTAAAGCCCCTTAGTAAAAAGAGAAGAAGGGAAATTTTCTTTTATTTTCTTAAAAAAACAAAAATAAATTTCTTAATACAATGAAGAATGTCTATCAAAATATATAGCAGCCTTTATATTCACTGGCATAACATGGGAAGTGTTCCCTTTAAAATCAGAAACTAGACAAAAACACATTCATTCCACCATCATTTCCATTCAACATCGCACTAAATGTTCAAGCCAATGCAATGAGACAAAGAGAAATAAAAGAATTACAAAATAATATATAAAATACATATTTGCATACATATATAGAAATTGTTTAAAATCAATAAACTATTAATTTATAACAATTTTCTTACAAAATTGCAGATCAACATATGAACACCAATTACATATCTAAACAGTAGCAAATGTAATTTTAAAAAGATCTGCATAACTCTATCTATATATATATATCTATTTATATATTGGTATAAATCTATATTTATATAAATCTATATATATTTCCATTTATAATAGAAGCAAATATAGGACAGTGAGGGGTAAATCAAAACCAAATATACAAAAGATATTTATGGGAAAAATTTTATATATTGTAAGATATTACAGCTGTTCCAAATAAATGGAGATATGCATGCTGTTCAAGGATTAAAAAACTGAATATTAGAAAGATGTCAATTTTCCTAAAATTCATTCATTAATTCAATGTAATCTCAGCTAAGAATGCAGACATGTTCATAGATTTAACAGTATCATTTTCAAATGTGTGTGAGAAAACAAAAGATCAAAAATTAATATAAAAATTTCAAAGAAGAAAAACAAGATTGAGGGATTTGTCCCAGGTAATACTGATATTTATTATTCATCTGTAGTAATGCTGCCCAGAAATAGATAAAAGACCATTGCATGAGAACAGAGATTCCAGAAACTGACCTACATATGTCTAGAAACCTAATGTAGAAAACCTGTAGTATCACAGGACACTATTGAAAAAAATGAATTATTCCACATGTCATGCTATTATGGTTTGGGTCTAGACATCCCTCAAAGCCTCATGTGGTCATAGGCTTGATGTAGAGTGTGTGAAGCTGGAATTGATTCATGATGCAGTGCTAGGCTCAAGGGCACTAGGATTAAGGGTGTGAGTGCTACCACCCTAAGTAGTCTGCATAAGATAAAAGGGGCAGGGAGACACTGTTAACTCTCTTATGCCCTTTGCTGCCTTGTATGTGCATGTTGTTTCTCCTCTGCCATGCCTGTTTGTCATCTCTGCCTTGGAGCCAGCCGATTATGGACTGAAACCTCTATGAACTGTAAGCCAAATAAACCCTTTCCCTCTAACTTTGGGTGTCAGGTATTTTGTCTCAGCAATGAGAGCAAAGTAACTAACACAGAAATTTGGTATCAGAGAGGTGGAGTCATTGGTGTGACATAACCTGGCCATGTGGCTCAAAAGCCTTTGGAACTGGCTTGTGGGAAGGAGAAGAGTTGGGAAAGATCCAGAGACCTTGGCTACAGAAGCAGCTCTGGAACACCTTAGCTTGTTCTGTATGTTCTGTATGCAGATTATGGTCAGAGTTGAGAAGACCAGAATTGGTAGAGACCAGGCTCAGGAGGTCTCTCCTGGGAAGAA